TAATTTGCAGTATATAACTGCGATATGATTTTTTATTTTATGTTATTATTTTTGTAACATTTTTTATATATCAATAATAAAACGGGTCATATTGACTTATTTTAATTATGAATTACAATTACTTTTAGCGAAGTCATTTACACATATTAATATAGATATGTCAAATATGTCTCGCAAATCTAAAAATAACAGACGAAAAACTCAAAGTAGATTTACCGATAATCCTAAACAATATGCAATTTAAAAATCTGTCTAAGTATATGCATAGAATTGATGAAGATTTTATAACAATTATAAATAAGAACACTCAAGATGTGAAGGTGATATTTGATTATGGGCAAATCCCAGAGTCTAATGACTCATATTCTCAGCATGTAGTAGTGGTAGAAAATTATTGGATATGTAAATAATTAATCGATTTATTTTTTTTTCCAGAAAAATTAGTGATCGTTAATGTAAAAAGTAAATGCGAATTGACCTCCAGGTCAGTTTATTTATACGAAAATAAAAAAAGATACAGGATATACCTACATATATAAAAAAAATGATGATTAGTTTTGTTCGAATTCTTTGTAGCTTCTTTTCTGTAATTTAAATGGAGATGGTGATCTTGGTGGAGATGCAATAGTCGATGTTGTGGAAGTTTGTGACAAGTCTGATGTAATCGACATTGTTTTGACCGAATAATCAGAAGTATCCATTACTTTACATACTGTACATATTATTGCGCTTCTGAAAGTCAATAGTACGTGGATAATAGGATAGACATTCTCCAGTTCTGTGTGTGGGGTGGATAAGGGGATGGTTGCTCGTTCAAGCAGGGAATTTTTATATATTGATGATTCTTTATTCATGCAGCGTAATTCTAGCACCCTCCCAACGATATTAATTGTAAATATTGTCAACATTTCTTTCATCATCAATTTTCTGAACAATCTTTCATATTTAGGATTTCTCGTGAGATCAATAGAGTCCTTTGAAGTCTATTGAGTTTTTTATGATCTCGTTTTTGCTTATCATCGGAAGAATCTGGTCGACCGGTTTCAAGATATGCAAACTCCATAGACTTATTTTTAATTTGTACGACAACTCTGTAGTCGGGTCTTTTTGCAAGCTTATTCGAACCCTTGCGTTCTGCGCTGGCTAAACTTGCCTCATCCCCCCTTTTTAAATATGTTAGTGATTATACAAGACTTAATAAAAAATTATAAATTATACATACCAAGCACCCCATATAGTGTAATCTATAGGTAAATCACTCATTACAATATTCAGCAATGGTGATATAACCTCACATATGCACAAACCCTTGCTTATGTTGGGCTCTTTTGACAAGACATATAACTTCCACTTTGAGGACCCCCAGATTCAACTAAATGCTTCTAGCATCTGGTTTGTCAATTTATGTAATGTTTCGGGACATCTAAAAACTTACCAAAAGTTACTCCTTCAACCAATTTAGGGACTTTCTCAAAGTACTTCTTCTTTTCGCTTTGGACAAATTCTTCACAAATGTGACATTCTGGCTTGCACTTCATTTTCTGGCACTGATGAGGTAGACTGATTATTTAAGATAGAAAGATGTACAGTTTTCGATTCTGATAGATCTCCACCTTTAGATAATTCCACACTAGAACTGACCTTCTTTTTTCTGCTAGTCTTTTTTGTCACCGGTTCGCTCGAATGAATTACTTGCTCAGAATTTCCAACACTTGATGAGCTATGCTTGGGAGATATTTCTAGTTGGGGTGTCGAGATAGATGAGTCATTAAAAGCCATTTCTATTTCAGGTGGATGAGGATATATCCGACCATCTACAATATCATCATATCTATCACTACCGATTTTATAATCTCTACATATTTTGTGTTTTCTATTTGGTATCTTTTTTGCCTCCATATCCCTTATTTTTTTGAATATCTTTGGGAGATAATTTTGTGGCATTGGAGTTGAGATATATTCAAACCCTGGATCTAGTTCGGGTTTTAACCATTTTAGAAAAATATATAATGATATAAAAAAAATGTCTGATTTAAACCTAGGCAAACACCCATTCATTCCTAGTATGTTATCGAGCAAGAATTGAGTAATAATCAGGTACAAATCAGGTAAAAACCAGGTAATAATCAGGTATTAATTAGTATTGATTTGATTATAGGTCTATTTACTACATTCAAACATAAAACTAATTAATTACCAACTTCTGACCAGTTTCTTTTTTATATCAAATCAGTTAATTACCAATTCTTGCCCAGGTTCCTTTTTATATGGAATTAGTAAAAAGCTGATTCGCAATTAGTTTTCTTTGATCATAGTAATTTTTACTAAACATAATTCTCTTTGAATATATGGCACAAATACATACCTTGTATAGTGAATCTACGGATGCCAAAAATTTTCAAGGACATCAATATAAATTAGATAGTACTAGAGAATGTGAGCTTGAATCTCAATGCAATGAGTTGCTTGTTGAAACTGAATTTTTTGCTAATAAATGTTCCGAATTCAGGAATGCCAAAACTCTTGCAGAAACACGATCAGATGGGCTTGCAAAAGAGCTGAAATCAAAAAATAAAAAGATTTTACACCTCCAGAAAAAATTAAATCGAACCACCGATGCCAAAACACGAAATGACTCAAATATAAAACAACTCAAAGAAGAAATCAAACAGTTACAGAGCAAAAATACTAATCTTGTATCCCAGGGTGCTCTTAAAGAACTTTCTCTTACTGGCTATCAAACCAAGTATTACAAAAAAATGGAAGAGGCGAATTCTTTCCAATCTAGAATAAAGTCATTGGAAGAGAAATTATTTTCAGCTCAGAAGGACTCATCTCTGAAAGCTTCCGGGATCGATTCTCTCAAGTCCAAAATAACTGAATTGGAGCGCATGAAAGATGAATTATCCTTAAAAGTCAGTGAACTTAACTGTCTGAAATCGGAGACTATATCGAAACCCATAGTTGGTGGGGATGACGAAAAAAATATGACCAAGTCTGATGATATATCTGCAGTTATTGAACCTAGCAAAAACATCAGTCGATATTTTGTACGCGGAAAAAGTATTCCAATCTCAGAACCTCCAAAAGTCAATGCTGAGAATAGTCCCAAGATAAGTGATGAAATTAATATTAACGAAACTAACAAAGTTAATATGCTAGATGCACCGACAAAACCCAGTATATTACAGATTATACCCCAAAATGTGAATCCACACCTTGCACAACGGGAAAATTATACCCCCTCTTTGATGTCACAGCTATCAGCATATATTTTTCTTATTATATTAATTATCGCAGTTATGTGGTTCGTGGTATTGAGACGTACATGGGGGTTGAAGAGGAAAAGTGAGCAGTTGCAGGATGTGTGGGCTAGGTATTAGAAGTCATCTATTTAAACTTGGATATTATTTATGTACGAAAAAATATTATTAATAATATATAAGTATCACTAATATTGGGCCATTGGTGAAATACTTATTACAAGCTTTTAATATATTTTTCAAGCCATTTTTTCGCCTCTTTCTGGGAATATACATCAATCTGCTTTTCTCTATCATCTGAATCTTTAATATGCATAATCTTATTTGAACTTGGTGGTTGATACTTTTCATCTTCATTGATAAACCGCGCACATAATCCCAACGTACTTTCTAAATAGTGGTTGATATTTATTTCCATGTTCTGCTCTTTTGCAAACTCTGGATATTCCATATAATCACCAACTCTATATTGTATTAATCGACCTTTTTCATCACGGCAACGCTCACCTTTTACTACTACATAACTAAAGCGCTCACCAGGATCTGGGATATTCAATTGTTTTTCTTTCATTCGAGTTATAAAACGCTGGACACGAAGATTTTTTTTCTTAGGCTTCCATGTAGCCATCCCAATAAATTGACTAAAGTCCCATTGCTTATGTTTGGCCTCTCTTTTTGGATCTACTCTTGGACCTTTTCTTACGAGTACACTTGCGAGAATTATGTCCAGTTCTATTACAATTTGAACAACGGTTTTTGGATGATTTAATAACAGCGTTGACGCCTGCTTCAATACCTTTGGCTATAGCCTTATTTATTGATAATTCTGACATACCCTTAGTAATTTCATCCATATCATCATTATTAGGAGTATTATTTTTCTTATTTGGTAAGAAAGGCGTGATTCTATCCATTACTCCTTTACTAATTGTATCCATGAAAGTTTGTAGATAAGATGGACCTGCTAAAGCACTAAGACGATCTGTTGCATCGTCTATTCGAAGCCATTCTTGATCATTCAAGCGTAAAAGTGGATCTCGATATATTTTACCTGGTTCCATTTGACTGGGTCGTAATAATTGTCCTTCTCGTCTTTGGGAAGTTGATTGCGTAGAAACAGGTTGAGATTGCGATGAAGCTATAATAGATTTTACAAAGCTTTCCGTTTCATCTCTACTCATACCCATATTGCTTGAATAATTATCTTTTGTATTAGCTTTAGATTGTGAACGAGAAATAACAGGGTGGGATTCAGGATTATACTTACCCAACATCATTTCAGCCTTCTGTCTTTCAATTTCTTCTAATTTTGGTAGTAAAACAGAAATTGGGTATTCGAGACCGATACGTCTTACTTCTAATTTGTTATCAGGAGAAAGACCCTGAAAGAATTGTTGTCTAACCATTGCTTCCTGATTTAATGCTGGGAGTGTTGGGTAGGCCAGTTTAACCATTCTTTTTAAGTTTGCATAGAAACGGCCTACAGGATCGGAGCCTTGAGCAAGGGTAGTGAATACCAATTGCGTTTTTTCAGCTGTAACTGTGGGATATGCACGCCTAAAATAATCAATTACTTGGCCAATAAAAATATTTGGAGCTATAACATTACCTCCTACATTGGCATTGGGAGCATTTGGAGCCAAGTCTGTTGGTCGTCCACCTGATGTCAGCCAGTCTTCATGCCATACAGTGTGGGACGGAACTAGTGGTATAGCAGGTTGATTTCCATCAGCTGGTGCAGTATTTCGAATTTGAAGAGCTCCGCCTCTAAACTGATTAGCATTAATAGCACGTATTTCATTCTTAGACAATCCATTAAGAGCATTAAGATCTGCATGGGCACCACAATTATCACTAATATTTTCTAATTCCCAGTTTTTACCTTTGACATTGGTTTCATACCAGTCTTTTGAGTCACCCAATAAGCAAGTTTCAAAAATACCATGAATTCTCATTCGCATATTATGTCCAGCATTTGGATCATAATTAGCAGTCTCACACCATCGTTGAAAATCAGTAAGAAAAACTTCTGGGTCTTCTCCAGCCCGACCATGAAATTTTGGTAGTTCATATCCAGCCATTCCTCTATATTGGTTATTTATAGGTTGATTATTCTGAAGCGCAAAAATTTGTTGATTTAAATTCAAAATTAATTGCTGTGAATTGCGTTCCCTATTTTTCCACTTGATATGACTCGCCTTTCGATCCTTGAATTTATTGTAGTATTTATCAAAGATTCGATCTCGATTATATTCTAATAATCCTTTATCAGCCTGACATTGCTGTAGCCCCTGTTGTAATTCTCTACCATGTCTTTGACACCTCCGGAATTTAAAATTAAGTGCAAACTTATCAAGTAATAAAGTATTAATCCGCATCTGCATTCCTTTTTCCAATTGTTTAGCTACCCTCCACCAATGACGACGTTCTTCCCGTTCATTATAATAAGCTGTAGTCATCAAAGCAAGATCATTCTGAGAATTGTTACGCTCTAGTGT